CACCACACACATACTTTTTTTTCTTCTTTTTCGAACCTTCGGATCATGTGCGTGCCGAACCGTGGAGTGGGGACCGGTTCGGATTACGGATCAATAGTGATCCATTGCACCACTAGCCATAACTAATGAATGCCCTCAAACTGCTGTCAGAATTCCCTCCAAAATTCAATGTCGCTGGTTTCATTTTGAGCAACTCTGAACCTAAAACACCTAAACAGATACAGAACTAACTTTACCCATCTAGTCTTCAGTGGCGCATCAGGTTCGAGACAAGTTATGCTGCCTTCATGGACTTGAATCAACAGTTGATATGAGATAGTTATTTTTAAAATGGTTGAACTCCTTTGTTATCAAGCATTTAGTTTAATCAGTGATTTAGAGAGCATAGGTAGATCACGGTGATTGTCTGGACACATCAGTCAGCTTGAGTGTGCTGTCCTCTAAAGCTTAGTTTAACATCTCTTTATTTTTCTAATCATTTAGTCTTTAAATGATGTGGTAGCAATTGAAATTGTGAGCTTAAAGTACAATCTAGTGTTTGCCACTAGCTAAGACAAACAGTAGACCATTTTTTGTCCAGAGCACCCGGGAGTGAAGGTCATTTGATGTAATGTTTGACTGTGAAGGAATGCACATTACGGTATTCTCAAAATGAGCTGTCTTACTTTCTAGCTGGCAAGCTTGTTATTACATAAAGCCCCATCTAAACACCAATGAAGGGTTTTTAAAAAAATTATTATTATTTTAGTCAGTGAAAATATTCTCATAAAAGATACCATGCCACACTTTCCATTAGCTCACAGCAGGATTTGCTCACAGGCTGGTTTTAACATTCATTGTAGCAAATACAAAGGGTCAGTAATTCTGGCTTTGTAAATGAAACCGTATCACTGCTCGAAATGATCTCCTGTGGAAACGAGATGAGGCCAGACTCACATTAATTTTAAATGGCCACATTTTAGATGTAGTAGATATAAGTGTATTACATGGTTTTCAAGTGGATTCTGCTGCTGCTACAGCATCACATAATTTCTGCACTAGTGCATCACATTAAGGTGTGTGTGTGTGTGTGTGTGTGTGTGTCTTACTAAAGTAGTCTGTTTGGATTCTTATCTGATTGAATTGAAAGTGTATTTTCAATTGCTCCTTTGCTTCTTGGAAGGTGCTGAATGAGTATTTCCACAATGTGTGTGAGCTGGACCTTGTGTTCAACTTCTACAAGGTAAGCATATTGAGAAGTGAATTCTTCCCCTTTGTTTTTAAGAGTCTTGATATCCAATTAAAAAGACCTTGAACAGAGGAGGACAAAAGAGAGCTCTGAAAGTGCTTTTTTTTTAGTATAGTGCCATGGTAACTGATATAATAATCACAGATAGGTTTTTTTTTCTTTTTGATCTTAATTACTTTAGTGGGGGTGGATTCTTTTTTCTTTTCATAAATGCTTAAACTCCCTTGACCCACCTGCCGCTAGTGTTAATTGCTAATTACCTAAAAAGCATGTGAACATCCGCCCACATGCTTTACTCTAACACCGCTCATGTATGACATGGCCAGAAACCAACAAATAAGGTAAATCAGCTGTTGACAACTACAACCTCTTTCACAAACTACAACACACCTGAGAAAAGCAGGTGATGGAAAGAAGAGTGACTCATCTTGTCAGGTTAATTTCTTTGTCACTCTGGTTATTTTTACACAATGATGACAAATAGCAGGCTGGATGACTACTTTGTGATATTTGTACTCTGTTTTGAATCATCTTAATATCCTCAGTTTCATCACAGTGTTGGGCTCTGTCCTCTGAATTGTGTTTTAAGGTGTACACGGTGGTGGATGAGATGTTCCTGGCGGGGGAGATCAGGGAGACCAGTCAGACAAAGGTCCTCAAGCAGCTCCTCATGCTCCAATCACTCGAGTAAAAAAGAAGAAGAAAAAAAAAGTCGATAACCATCTATCTTACCTGGATACTAATCTGCTGCCCTGGCACCCAAAACATCTTGCTCATTTTTTTTGTATCAGTCTGAAATGGACATTTGTCATGTTCCTGTCTCTGCACAGCCAACATTTACCGGGACTTCAAGGGAAAGGGGGGAGGGGGTGTTTAGTAAAGAAGATTAATGTTGTTTACATATGGATATGAGTCCAATTAATCTTTTGTCACAAGTCTATATGTTGCAATATTCTGCACCCGTCTTACTGGTGAGGATGTTTTGAAGGCTATACAGCACATTTCAACAAGTTAAAATTACATATACTGCCTTAGTTACACTCAGCTGTATTCTGTTTTTCTTCTTCCACAAGCCAGTGGCCACAGAAATGAATTATTCCTGTAGTAACCACAAAGTAATTGCATCTATCTCTGTGCAGTGTGGAAACAAGTGTCACACTGCTCTCTTCTGCCCTCCTCTCATTAACCTAAACATGTATTTAATGGCACTACTGTGACTAACAAGCACCATAGAGACTGCCTATAATGACCCCTGTGCATTGAGAAGTTATAATAGCCTCGCAGCCTTTTCTATAAGTAATGTTAAGCAGGTCTTGGAAGTTTTAGGATATTCATCATGGCTGCTGCGCAATTTATATCTGGATTGGAGTATAGGCAAACTACGGAAACCTCTTCAGACCAGTTGACCCAGCACAGCTAGTTCAATTGAATGGAGTGTGCTTAGAACGAGTGTCGTTCTGACAGTTTGTTATGGCAACCTGTGCTGTCCAGACGTCCTCATGGCTGATGGTGGTCAATAGTATAGGTCATGTTACATCCAATGGTTGCACAGTGGTATGTTGTGATGATTTCTGTTGCTTTTGAAATAATCTTTGTCATTTAATGCAGCTCGTTACATCAAATGGTGCTGGTTGGTTACTCTTAAGAACACTTAAAACTATCCCTAGATACAGAAGGTATATTTTACATAAATCAGTAATGTGAAAATTGCTTTGTATGGTGTGTACATACAGTGTAGCCTGTGTTGAATATTGTGAACACAAATAGTTCCTGCTCACAGTATTTCCATACATTCCTTTGGCATTGCATAAAATGAGTTGAATTTTAAATTCCTCTTAGAAAAAAAAAAAAGCTTTTACTCACATCCTTTTGCTCAGCCTAAATCTTTGACATGGTCATACTAATTTTAACCATATCTATTCACAGGTCTCAAAGGTGGTTTCATATATTCAAGTTTTGTATTTTTTTTTTTTTTAAATTAGTGAAATATGTACTGCTTCCCTTCTTGTCCACCTGTGAGTTTGTTGATGAAAGTGATGCGTGTAGTACCGTCTCCTGTTCACTTATGCCAGTATCTCCCTCTTTGTGTAAATAATAAACAGATGAAGTAATGCAAAGGTTTCAGTATCTGACCTAATATTCTGGGAAGAGGGGATTTTATTAGGTGTATCTTGACTTTTTTCTGATGTCTTAAAACATGTAGTCATGCTACACTGCTAAAACTGTTGGGCTGATTTCGTATAAAACAACACTCAAAGCTACTGACAAAACATGTAAATACAAGTCTTTAAAATTCAGATTTAAACCTGTCTAGTGTATCAGCGCCATCTAGCGGTAAGCCAATCCTTTCCCTCGGTGAATCTGCAATGTGGTTATGAAGTCATCTTGATAGCCTGTCTAAAAATCAATAAATCATTCAATATATCCACTTGAGCTACATTAAACCGCTCTGGCCATTACTCCATCGACCCAAGAGCATAAATCCAGACAATTGTGACAGAGGGCATTTACTCTTCATCATATGAGTCCTCTGATATCCTAACCTCAGCCTGACTGCCTTTGAGAGAAATGACTTGACAGAAGAAAGGCAGGCAGAGGTAAATGAATCATGTACCTAGTAGGACCCATTGTTAAATTTCAAGGCCTGTTAAGTCAGCTGGCTATAAATCTGATTTGTAAATGCTGCTTGCGTTGCTGTGCACGAGGGCTGGGGGTCACCAACATTCAGGATCCGATGCACTTCAACGCCCTTGAGCAATAACCGAGTGAATGCAGTGGCTTAATGCCAAAGTTAAAATAAAGAATAAAAAAAAAAAAAAAATCCCTGATAGCATTAACATTCAGGAAACCAGTGAAAAGAGTTACATGAAAAACAAGCAGTTTACTGGGAATTGCATAATCATTACAATCAATGAGCAACACTCACCTTTAATAGACAAATCTTATTTACAGGATAGGTTACTTGAGATGTACAGTAGTATTTAGGTTAGATTATATAACATTACTAAGCAACAACTGAGTTGGATTGCGTTCATCACATTAAGTCTATACTGGAACAAATGAGAAAATGTTCATATAGCTACTCTGATTATCTTTATGAACTGTACAGCGAATACAGATGAATGCAGGCTAACAATTCAACAGTTGACTCAATAACTGCGCATAGATGACAGCCTGTGAACGAGTGATCAGAATTGCTGCTGATGGCCACCTACAGCTCACAAAGTCAACACCCTTCCATCATTACCTCCACGTCAGCAGGGAGCAATAAACCAATCAAATCTCACACAGCATGAGATCACACTATTACACCATTTTTTGTTGCTGCCTGACAGCATCAGAAAAAATGAAACCATATGAAGAATCTCAGTTGTCATTTAGTAAAAAGATAACATCTAAAATTAATATATTTATTACATTATACAGTTCAAGTAAAATAAAATGTACAATTCTATAGTTACAGCATATAAACAAAACAAACACAGATTCAAAAGTAAAAGTGCACTTGCAGAAGGAGACAAACTATCATGCTATGCAAATATTTTATGAAAGCAATGTGTTTTGACCATCTGTCTCTTGATGTCCTATATGATCTCATGTTTGCCCTTTCAGTGTGCTGGCTCAGTTGAGCTTAAACACATATGGTTTGTCTGGGGGAACGTATGCCAACACAGAGGCTTGAGAAATACGTTTGCGCACACTTTGTTTTTGAGCTCCTCTTGGCTTGGTTTGTATGACCTGCTCTCAGACAGTGATTCAGACAGAAGCGGTGCCTTTGATTAAACAGCAGAGCGGGGGCTTTGGATTTTCTAAGCCATTAACTTGCAACCTCATTTTCCTCCAGCAGCACCACAAACCATGTTGTCAGTGTTACAAGCAGAGAGGAAACTGTGTTTCTGTGGAAATTCCCCTGTTTCTCTCTAGAGTAATACAAGGTCTGTTCTCAAGAGAAAACATCTGGGTCAGTTCAGTGGTGCAACAAAACTGACATTTTGCAGCAGAGCTGCAGAGGGAGATATTAAAGGGAAAAACTTGGAATTTGACCCATACACTGAGGAGATGTGGTGTCTCAGTTATACTGAGAGGGCCACTTTGCTGGCATGGATCGGTTCTACTTTTCCGTTTAGAGGGTCAGGGTCACAAAAACAAACAAACAAAAAAAACAAAAACAAAACCCAACTTCATCTGATGGGGGTGGTGTCTTCTAGGGTGAGAATGGCCCTATCAATAGAGCATGAGGGATTATGGTTCAGACTATGAAAAATAAAATATTACAAATCATATACTACAGCTCAAACGAGCACATATGGAGGATCTTGATTAGCATTTTGAAATATTTATCCCTCCAGTGATTACTTGAAAGTTTAAAAACAGAATCCTGTCAAATTGAACGTACAACGTGACATGATTTTTAAAAACAAAAAACAAAAAACAAAACAAAGGTCAAACCTTTGGCTGGTTGGGCGGCACAAAAGTTTCCCAAACAAACCAAACAAAAGCCAACTGTGGTTTCCTGTGACGTCTTATACAGTACGTGCATGTATGAATCTACGAAATGTCATGGCGAAAAGCCCAGCAGGAGTCAAAAACATTATAATGCCAATTTATCACTATAACTGGACACGTGAATTTAAACATGGTGTGAATCTGATAAAGCTCAATTTACAGACTTGTGGACTTTTGGTTTAAATAAAGAGCAAAAGTTCTCTTTTTTGTGCTTTCAACCTGACCCACAGCCTTGCCTGTTTGGGTGTAGAATGGAGTGATGGGATCATCCCCCCATGAGAGTTTATACATATCAGTGTTGGAATTTATATGCTATGAATCCATCAGGTCTACTACGAAAAAATTAAAATGACAGGACAAAGTAGAAAGGATTTGCATCACACCTGGTGTAAATCGTACCCAAAAAATATGTGATGTTTATCATTTATTTTCCATTAAATTTTTTTTTAAAAAATTCTCATAAATGATGGAAAATAATATTTTCCATCATTTATGAGAAATATAGTTTATGATGCATGATTTAAAAAAAAAAAAAAAAAAAAATCCCAATGACCCACACTAGGACAGGTTGAATGCACAAAAGAGTTTAACAATAATAATTTACAAGCAATGATATGGAAATGCTCAAAGTATTTTGGGGATTGCTAAAACCAGAATGAAAAAGCAGAGAGCAAGAGAGAAAAAAAGAATAACACACAACAGTAGGTCAGCCCAAACACACAACCCTTGACTTTGTCCTTGTCTGATAAGTAACAGAGACCATGGTGGAGGATGTCTCTTTACATTTCCACTTTGCTCACACTGAGGGGTTATGCTGTCCAAACGCAAGAGCAAACCGACCCCCTCAGGTAAGCCGTAGACTCTTACCAGAGGTCAAGGGTCATAGGTTGCAGTGATCTCCACGACCCAAGGTGATCCAAGGTGTGTGGAACTGAAGGAGAGGGGGAAGGACGATCACACACCAAAAAAAAAACCTGGAGCCGAGATGTTTAAGAACAGGAAACAAAGTGAGCACCGACACGCCCTCATCAACGCTAACACAGATAAAAACCTGTTAGTTTACAAGTCCCACTGGTCACATGAGTTAACAATAGGGATGGGTATCGAAAACCGGTTCTTGTTGAGTTTCCCCATTTTTGCAATCGATTCCCTTATCGATTCCAGTCGCCCCGAATGACGTCACCACGTTGCAGAGCGTCATTTACCTGGCAGGAAACATGGCGGCTCAAATGCTAAAAAGTTTGGTTATACTTTACGAGAACGGATGACAACAGGGCAACTTGCAATACTTGCAAAGTAGAGATTTCATTTAAGGGAGGAAACACTACGAATATGCAAAAGCATTTGCTCACAAAACACGCGATAACCTTAAATGTATGTCGTGATTTTATTTCTGCTCCAGACTCGTGAATCTCAACCCAGCAGCAGCGGTAACGTTTGCACGTCCTCTCCCGTTAATACCACAGGTAAATAATCAACTAACAGTGCATATTATGTTAGCGCGATCTGCCTTATTACAAAACCTGCCATTACTGTGCATTTAGGTGACCATGATGAGAGACAGACAGAGTCTGGCTCAGATGCTGGCAGTTCTTGCTGCAGTCTACCGGTAGCGTCTCCTTTCAGGCCAGGATAGACGAATGTCACAGAGCAGTGATTAAGTTTGTGGTAAAAGGCTTGCACCCATTTGCCACAGCAGATGCCCTCAAATTTTTGGTAAGTGAATGTGTTTAATTGTAGGCAGGGACATTACTGGATATTCTTGTGTAATTGCTACAGAATAATTTATGTTATACTTTGTTTTTGCTACAGAAGAATATTAATTTTACATTTACAATTTTTCCCCCCGGGGACCCTGTGACACCCCATTGAAGAGCCATAGGCTGAATCTCTTAAGATCTCACTGTTGGGTTTGTAAGGCCATACTACTCCTAAATTTCTATCTTGTTCAAAGAGAAGATATAAAACAAAGTTCTAAGCTAATCGACCTTAGTGTTCTCCTTTTTAAAAAGAATCGATAAGAGAATCGATAAAGAATCGAATCGTTAAACAGAATCAAAAATGGAATTGGAATCGTGAAAATCTTATCAATACCCATCCCTAGTTAACAAGTTACTGACCTGTAGGGGGAGTTCTGTCTGTGTGGACCTGTGGGCTGGGGTGAGGGTGGGTCCCGACCCCTAGCAATTACACTGCTGCTTATTCTGTGTTGTGGTGCCTCTGGGCTGTCGCAGCTGCCTCAACGAAGCATCTCCATACTGAATACCTGAACCCATCCTCTCTGGGTCCAACTCGCCTTTGAGAGAAGCACAATGAGAAACATCAGTGACACAGACATGTATGCTCTAAAAATGTCAGATCCACATCACTTCATGTGCTCAAGCTCTGAAAGCATTAAAAACAAAACATGGAAATGGCACTAAATTCTAACAAAAAACATCCACCTCAGATACACTTCTATAACAAAGAAAACAATGTGTACCTGAATCTATCTTGTTGAGAATGGTGCGAGCGCACTTCAAGAAACCCTCCTCGACATTTTCACCTGTTAGCGCGCTAGTCTCTAGAAACATCAGCTCTGTGTGTGGGAGAACAAAAATACTTCTAAGAGTGGGGAAAAAAAGCATTTGAAATGCATCAATGTACAGATAAGTTACCATTCTCCTGAGCGAAGCGTGAAGCTTCGAGGAAGGTCACCTCTCTGTCTGCATCCAAGTCTTTCTTGTTGCCACACAGGATAATAACAATGTTGGGACTCGCCAGTGTCCGTGCATCTGTCAGCCAGTTAGTCAGGGCATTGTATGTCTCTCGACTGTAAGACATTTTATTCATGTTATTTACCCAATTTTCTGTTTCAGTTTGTTTTCAGCATGAGGCTGTAGCTCTAGTTTCATTGTATACACTTGTCTGTTTCCCTGTGCGAGAGTGTGTCAGGTGACACCATCTGTGATGGACTTCTGCTTTCCTCTACAGACGCTACCTAACAGAGGATGCCTCTATATTACAGCTCTTGACAGTCCGCACTCCACATACCCTCAACAAAAGCCCATAGTTTGTTAAAAGCAAACTACTGCATTCAATCCATCTTGAGTTTACGACCCAGAGTTTATGAAATACAGTAATGTGAGTGGTCTGTCATTAAACAGCACGATTTCTGGAGGCTGTACAGGCACAATGTGACTCCTTTTGTTAGTTGATATATGGACTCGAAACAGTATGAACACTCAAAAATAAACTAAGCTTCCAGTTAAGTCTGTAAAATTTCATTTTAATTGTAGTCACATTTAAAATTTTCAATTAATCACAGATGCCAATGCCCACACCAAATACAACCTTACATTTTGTTGCTTCTGGGAGTCTTAGTAAACATGTAGTTTTTATTCTGGGAAAATTAAGGTACAACTGTAGTATCTACATCCCATTATCACAGCAAACAAAAAAGCTCACTTTGTTAGAGAAACTTATGAAAAGGAAGTGGGAGCACGAGGGCAGTGGTTGTTTTACCTGGTAATATCGTAGACAAGAAGTGCTCCAGCTGCTCCTCTGTAGTAGCTGCGTGTAACAGATCTGCGGAGAAGATGGAGGAGAGAAAAAAAAAAAAAAGGCTCCTTTAAAAGATCAGATGGTGAGATTTGATAGGAGAAACTGTCCAATCATTTTAACAGTTATCATCAGTCAGACACTTCATTATCCCAGTAGAGCTGGGACTTGTGACTTTAGGTAAATTTTGAAGGTAGATACCGAAATCGCTCCTGGCCAGCAGTATCCCAGATCTGCAGTTTGACTGTCTTTCCTCCAACGTTGACCACTCTAGACCCAAACTCCACACCGATGGTGTGGTTGGAGTCCTGTTTAACTGCAGTAGGAACAAACAGAAGACAGTGTAAAAAAGGCACAATGTGAAATATACATAAAGGAGCAGGAAAACAAACGAAAAAACTACAGTGGGGCAAAAAAG